GCCGGGGCTGCAGCAATCCTTAAAGTGCTCCGGTTTGTTGTGGGACAGATCCACACATCCCTGGCCTCAGGCAGGCCAGGTCTTCTCCAGGCAGGCAGAAAGGTAGCCGGCTGGACCTGCAGATTCACTGTCTGCTTTGTTAGTGGGTTAGCAATGCCAGCTTCCATTTTTGGTAGCACCCAAGGGGAAGCCTCTGGATTTAAGGCATTAAAGGCTTGCAGCTGTAATGAGGGATGATTTTAAAAGCCTTTGTAGACCGTCTGCTGAAAGACAGTGCTGCACCTTTTCATACAAGCCTTTTACACAGTGTGACATTTCTGCACTGTTTCTTTTTTCTTCTAGCACATGGCACAGTGAAATCATAAGCATAGTGATTCACCATCTGGCCAGACTCTCCTCCCTGAAGTGAAGCTGGAGCTGTGGAGGACGCTATGTGGTTTCTACCACTGGACTACTCTATGTTTTCTCTTCTCCCTCTTAATCCAATCTTAAGGGGGAGAAAAACCGTTGAAATTAATTTCTATAGTTCACAAGGATTCTGTGTGTCATCTTGGATCTCAGCTTAATTCAGAATCTCAGAATTAGTTCTTTATGGCTCACATCTAACATAATTTTAGGTCAAGGACTGCTCCTCTCTCCTTGGTTGTTCTTATTGCTGTCTGTCTGTCCTGCATCCATTCCTTCTGCTTTTGAATCATACCTGGGAATTTCACTGTTTGTTATTATCTCTTCTAGAGATGGGCAAGAAGACTCCCCAAAGACCAGTAGAAATCTCTGAGTTCAGTGATGTTTTTAGATCCTTTATAAAAAACTAGAATGAAATTAATAGCTTTTGCTTTTATTTTAGGATTCAATATAACTTAAAGGAAAATAGTTTGAAAATATTTTGGCATGTAATAAAATTGATATAATTAGAGGATTATTTGAATATTTTATTGGCACTTGTTTTGTGTAAGTTTAGATTCTCCACATAAAAATCAGGGTTTTGCTTGTTCAAAAATCAATCTAAACACCACCCTCTCTATTAACATGGTCTTTTTATTTTTTCCATGTTTTATCATTTGAGATTTTAATAAAATTATATTATTTATCCCTTCCATTTCCCCTGCAAACCCTCCCATGACACCCCCATTCAAGTTCATGGCCTCTTTCTCTTTAATGTTTATATATTTAAAATATATATATATATATATATATATATATATATATATATATATTCCTAAAATATAAATACAACTTGCCTAGAATATATAATGTTACTTGTAACAGTTGGTATTGGGTAACCAATTGGTCTGATCTTCCTTAGGGGAGACTATTTCTCCTACATCATGGGCATAGTGTCTCTGACATTTCTAAGAGACTCAGTCTCACACCATACTCCCCTGTTCCTCTGGCCCCTACAATTTTTCAATTTTCATTCTTTCTTCTGAAATCCATCAGCCTTAGGTGTGGGAGTTGCTTTGTATATGCATCAGTTGGGACTGGGCTCCACACTTTGATTGATTGTGCTTTTCCATAATGATCTTATGATCATAATGATTGCAAAGAAAAGTTTTGCTGATGAAAGGTGAGAAACACACTTTACACTGTGGGTAAAGGGACAAATATTTATAATGTAAATGGGGATTATGCTATTTTGATAAAGTAGTGTTGTAAGGTCTCTTCCAAGACCCATGATTCCTTTAGCCCAGGAGAGTTGGCTTGGTTTCCAGTACCAGGGATGATAGTCCTCTTCTTGAGTGATTCTAAGTCCAATTAAAGAGCTGTTGCTCAATATCAAGGTATGGGTACAACTACTGCACCGTTAGGGTTATTGTCACACTGGTTGTTGTTGTGGTTCACAGGTGTCACAGCTAGGTAGGATCATTAACATATTCTTATTTAAACTGGTGGTCTTCATGCACCATTTTCATTTGAAGTCATCTGTTATTTCCAGGCATGTTTCCTACTGAGGAAAAGAAAAAATGATCAATAGTCACACCAAACGTTCTTTTATCTCTCTTCTTTTCTGTTCTGATAGGAAGCAGTGTTTAGAAGTAGTGTTGAGAACACTCTTTGAAATTCTTGCAAGCTACCCTGAGGTTTTTCTGTTATTAATATTTTTTTCTTTTTATACAAGCTGGCAAGCAAATTCTGAAGGGGCTTAGATATTCCCAGGGTGGCAGGATGTTATACGACTAACTGAGTTTCCTTCATGCATACATTCACTTGATGCTAGGTTTCAGAGCACTCAGTGGAGGGCTGGAGACTATGAGTGTGGTGTGGCATCATGGGAGAACGCATAATTCAGTCCTGTAAACATTATCCCACAAATTTTGAAAAAAATCATCACCCTTTTAGTCCATGAAACACAGTGACATGCAAGATACAACCTTCTCCTTGTAGTTGCTTGTGGGTGAGTAAATGGGCAAATAAATAATCATGGGTAGCATATCATCAACAGCTACAGAGCTCAGCATTTTGTGAAAAAGAGAAATAAATTTATTTGGAATGACAGAGAAGGAATGCAAGAAATGCTATTATTTGAAATGGTCTTTCAGGAAGTTACTAGGGTCTAGACTGTTTCATTCCTAAGCAAATAAGATACGTGAGATTGTTCTATACTTCTAGTGCGTCTGAGATGCACGGCAACAAAAATCACCTGTGTTGCTTCTTAAAGACACATATTGATGCCACATGAAAATGTATCAGCTTTGCACAATGAGGTTTGCGTTATTGACAAGGTCATTTGAATGATGGCAGTGTTACTTATGTCTTCTCCCTCCAATGCTAGTTCTTGCCGTATTTGCCCAAAGTGTCTCTTTTAAAGAAAAGTGTCCACGGAGGAACTGTCATCAAATCAGTAGTCCAGGCTCCATACACATCCACACATTTCTATAGTAGTATGTGTAAGTCTCATAGAACAAGATGCTGAAGAAAAATACCAAATGCATTGTCTTGTTCTCATGGCAATAATGCAATAGTTTAGTCACAGAATAGGAATTGATAAAATGGCCATTTTATTTACATATTGAAAAGCAGATGCAGAAGATGTGAGACATGACACTTGAGAGATATTTTGTCCTACCACGTTAGTAATATCAAATAGTAATGCACTTATTGTCAAGTTAGATGAATAAAGTCTTAAATCACATCTTCCCATCATCTCCCTAGGATTCTTTGGGTATTGAAAACCTGAGTTTCACTCAAGCACCAAGAAGGATAATGATACACGGTGGTGGTGGTGGTGGTGGTGGTGGTGGTGGTGGTGGTGGTGGTAATGGTGCTGGTGCTGGTGGTACTGGTGGTACTGGTGGTGGTGGGGGCAGTGTTGGTGATAATGATTAAAGACCAGTATGATTGTATGATGTGGTGATAAAGACAGCTACAAAACTGTCATACTAAGTATGAGCCAGCCTGGATGTCTAGACCTTGTATATCTTATGGGAAATCATTGTAAACTCCTTAAGGAGGGAAGAGACATATAGGGGTCCAGTGTGCCTACATTGTGTGCATGTATTACTTCCTTAACTCGAGTTCTTTTCAATTATTCCCCAAGTCTGAAAGAAACATGTATTGAGAATATTCCACATTTGGAACTGAAAGTCATAAGGCAGACCTCATATATAAGAAACTGTCACAGCACAATGCCAACAGTGGTTTCAGTTGCATGTTGTGAAGGTCATTATTCATTGCTTTGCTTTAAATTCACAGGAGAAAGTCTTGCTGAGTATTTAGAGTGGGGATCCTAACACAGAGGATGTCTCAGAAGAGTATCTGAAGCACACAAACACCATTGCTGACACTGTTGGGGCCGCTGTAGTTTCTGACCAGTGAGAATCAATTTAACCAGAGGTTTACAGGGGTGGAGGAATGAAGGAGCAGTTAAGAGCATTGACTGGTCTTACAGGAAACCCAAGTTCTATTCTCTGGTGGCTTAAAATCATCCATAATTCTAGATCCAGAGAATCAAAGCCCCTGACCTCTGCAGATGCTCTCTCTCTCTCTCTCTCTCTCTCTCTCTCTCTCTCTCTCTCCAGATTAAATAATGAATCACGGTTGCAAACTTCTCCTCTGGAGGAGACACAGCCTCCATGACTGCATTACTATGGGTTGCTATAGCTTCCCATAAGACCATCTTATTCCAGAACATGTTTCCACAGGGAGCACACAGTTGGTTGATCAGCTTGTTTGTTAGCACACGTTCTTGAGTTCTTGAGTCAAAAGCATTTGTATCACTGCTCTCTGGTAGATATCACCTTCCCTTTTGACCCGGAACTCACTCAGCACCTTGGACAGTGCAAGGCGTGCAGAGCCTCGTCAGGACCATGGACAGCAAAACCAAACCTGCAAACTCATTCCCCATCTCTCCTTAGCTCTCTCTCATAAATGTCATACTACACACATCTTGAAATTTAACCAATGCTGGAATCTAGATGTAAGTGAAATTGGGTCAGTGGGAGTAGTTCTTGTGGCCTCTACTTCAATATTTAATAAAGCAAATGAAATCTTTTCAGCCAAGTATTTTATTTTGTAGTTAAAAAAAAAGTTTGGGTTATATTTTGCTTTAAATTACCATTGTTGGTATTAGTGTGGTCTATTTGGTTTCTTATGAAATTTATTTTGGTTCCCCAGGAGCTTCTACTTGTGAATTCTGATTGATATAAAGGGCAAATTGTTGCTTATTGATAAACAATTTCAGTTCCAAAATTGGAGACTTTCTAAAGTAAAGAACAAGAGTAAAATGGTGAAGATTAGTTGTATAATGGTGAAATTGCTAGTTGAAATAAATGATTGAAAACATCTCAACAATAGAGTGTCTTGAAACCCTTTATTCAGGATAAACCCACAATTTCTTCCCTGGTTTCCAAAAATAGTAAGAATTTCTTCTTTCTTTGAAGTGCCGTAGAACTTGGCCTACATATCTTTCCAGGAAAGGATGGCTAGTCTTTTGTACATTTAAAAATATTTTAATTCTTCTGTAGGGGGCATATTACAAGATTATGAAAGTCAAGGGTTGTGGCTTAGTTTCTTCTTTCATCACAGTCGGTGCTTTACAGGATGCCTACCAGCGACATTCCTGTCCACGCACACTGGTTTTGAGATCTGACAGTAGCATACCTGGTAGTTCAGAGTGATCTAGAAAAGGAAATGATGGATAAAGATATATATAGAGAGAGGTATTTAAAGGGTAATCTTAGTTTCAAATAAAATTCACTTTTTTTTCTCAAGCGGGGACGGGGACCTGATTCCGAGCCTCTAGAGTAGTGATTCTCAGCATAAATGCTGTGACCCTTTAAAAAGTTCCTCATGCTGTGGTGACCCTCAACCATAAAATTATCTCATTGCTACTTCATAACTGTAGTTTTGCTACTGTTATGAATTGTAATGCAAATAAATGTGTTTTCCAGTGGTCTTAGGTGACCCTTATGACTGGGGTCCCTTGATGTTCAAAGGGGTTTCTACCTTTAGGCTGAGAAACAGTGCTCTAGGAAGGAATATCACCAGGACTCTCAAAGGCCCTTACTATTTTCTTGTTATAAAACCTTCATGCAAACCTGAATTTTTTTATATGAATGAGTTGCTCTTATTCATTTATAAATCAAGCACAGTTGTCCACATAGGAGGGACAATACTTTAGTTAAGAAAGTTATACATTTCCAGTACCAGCAATGATAGCATACCTTCTTAGTGTTCACATCCCAACACTGAAAAATAGGACCTTCAGGAAAACTGTCAATGCAAGTTATCAGACATAAGCAAGAGATATGATATCCGTGCAAGCTGGTTTAAGAAAGAATGTAAAATGTATCTGTTAGGCAGCCAAGAGAGACCAAGAAAAGCTCAATACGTCAGCGAGAGGACTGGATAGCTGTGACAAGTGACATCTGTCACTGAAGTTTTTATGTTGACTGAGGCATTCCAGGGTCAGCTGTGTACTAGCACAGGCATCATGCACTACCCACTCGGCAGCTACAACTTCATGGCACAGGAGGAAGCAAATGCTTGGATTGGAGGACTTCCATCAAATGCCCATGGCCCAACTGTGATATGCTGACATCAGATTTGCATGCCCTAGCTGTGGTGTGGAATGGGGACCTCCATCAAATGGACATTTCCCCAGTTGTGGCGCAGGGTAGGGAGAGAGACTATTTTAATTCCAGTTGCAACAACTAAAGATTTCAGAATCTAGGAAACTTTCCAAACATGATCAAGGCATTCCAAAATGAAGCAACCAAAAATAACAGCAAGCCCTGCTGCCTACAGACTCTAATCAAGTCATTTATCATCAATAGCAGGTGACTATTATTTTGAGACTTAACAAAGTAAATTAAGTTTACTTCAGCATACCCAATGGGGTCATGGTATATAATGGGAAGGCCTTGAAATGTATTGAATTAGATCCTGATCCTCTCTCCATCTGTGATAAACATCTATGCAATTCGATTCAGTTGCTAGCAGGAGAAGAAATGTTAATAGAAAATGCTTTTCCATTGATAGTGTAGGTTGAAATACAGGAATTTCACATGCAGTAGACCAGAGAACTTTCTACAGACCCAATCAGACCCAGCCTAACACATCCACTTACCAGCACTGTCTAGCCTGTGGGAGTGAGGACTCTAGTTGCCTGCCTTCCATTTTAAGCATTATTTTGTTTCTTTGGATGACATTGTTTTGCCTGGGATTTGATCCTGTTTTTCAGTTACAAAATGAAACTGTCTTTAAAGCTTAATTTACATCTCAATTGAAAACGGTTCCGGGGGTGGGGAGGAAAAAATGAAAATCGCAGAAATAAATATGATAGTGAATTGTTTGGGATGAAAGTCTGATGCTGGGGAGTTCATGTGAGACATCATGCTATAATGTGAAACTATTTTCAACCTAGTGAGGTAACTGCTGATGGGCTCTGCCTCACTTGGCTGCTTGTCTGTGTATTGCACAGAAAATAGAAGAGTGGAAGTAAACAAGCAATCCATATTGTCTGGGAGACAGAAAAATTAAATTTGTTTACCATTAGTACTGGGACTTGATGCCCCCTCTGTTGAGAGAGCCAAGGGAAAACACTGTACAGGTGCTTTTGTCACCAAAGACCGGGTCCCCCTGCTGCACAATGCTGCAGCCTGGGCCTTCTCTTGTATCACGGTTTGAGCAGATCTCAGTGGCGGTTTTGTGTTTTGCTTCTTTTGTTGCTGTTTTGCCTTTTTGAGACAGAGTTGTTCTATGTAGCCCTGGCTCGCCCAGAAGTTGACATGTAGACTTACTTACCCTCAGACTTACAAAGATCTGCCTGCTTCCCTAGTGCTGGGCTTTAAGGTGTGCACAATAATGTGTTTTTAATTCCATAGCTTGTCTTTTGTCTAGATGTGTACATTTCCACCATTGGTGTCACCAGGGTTAAAATTCCATCTTCCTGTGGCCTTTTTATTTTGACAAACTTTCTGCATTTGCAGCTACAACTCCAGTAAATGCTCTCTCTCTCTCTCTCTCTCTCTCTCTATATATATATATATATATATATATATATATATATATATATATATATATATATATCTTTCTCTATCCCTCTTTATATATTTTTTGTATCTCTACTGCTAGTGGTTGGGAAATAAACAGGCAAGTCTTCTCACCTCTACAAATCTAATTCAAATATAAGCTATCAATGGAATGATGATAATGATGTTGATGATGATGATGTAATGATGATGATGGTGATAATGATGATGTGATGGTGATGATGATGATGGTGGTGGTGGTGGTAATTATGATGGTGATGATACAAGCAATACCTCCTAAATTCTGAGCAACATTGTTCACTAAAACATTTTGTTTTATGTGTTTTTGCCAAAAAGAAAAAATATTTTCATTTTTGCCCTCAGCAGAAGTTGGTCGCTCATTAGACATTTTCAATGTGTAACCTCAGTTTGAGAAAAAATAATTGAACAGATAATTATATTGGTTTCCCAAAGTCTTTCTTCCTGTGCCAGTATTTTGTCCATATCTGATGATGCTCTCCTTTTGATCCTGCTTGAAATTTCTATCTCACTTATTTGTTCTCCTGCATCCCTGTTGATGTGGTCCAATTTGGATTAAAGCTGCAAACCTGTCACCACCCATTTATTGACCTGGCATAGGAAGCATGTACTCAATCTGGCAGCATCACAAAAGCAAGCTCACACTGGTGTGCCCCTTCCTGAGTGTGCTTTCCCACCAACTGCAGTCCAGTTCTTACCTGGACTGCCTTTGTCCAGCCGGGAAGCTGACACTCTGTCCCGTCTGTGATGGTCCTGCTGAGATGTCGTACATAACAGGACCTGCTGCAGGGTGCAGCTGCCACTTCTGCTTTTCTAAGTCAATTGCATTTAAGTAAATTAAAGAATTTTCAGATGGCGGGAAAATTGGTAATTTAAGTGTTCTGTCGGGCTTACAGATTGTGCAGTCCACAACTCTCAATATTACTTTCACAGAGTAAAGTTAAAAGTCAAGAAAATGAGCTCAGTTTGTAATGCCCTCCCGAGTGAGGGAATGGCACTTTGAAGCCAATCTCTCTGCTCTGCACCCAACATGACTTTTACTAAGGACACTGAAAACAGCTGCATGCACCCCTCTAGCAGCTTCATTTGAGCCTATCATGCATGGAACAGGGTTCCTTTCACACAATGATGCACATGGCTATTGAAATTGACCAGTGTGTGCCTTTGTTTCAGTCGGTGGCCAGTGGTGATCAAATGTCCGCATGGTCTTAGGAGTGCTCTTCTCCTTCCCAGCCAGTATGAACATGGAGCAGAACATTCTGGGGAACTAACAAGGAACATCTCCCAGCTCCGCCCCGCCCCAACTCCCAGCCAGTGTGCACTTTCACAGTCAGTGAGAATTCTTCCTCAGGGGAATGTACAGGAGAGATTATGACCATGATCTTTAGGTTGCCCACTGTAAGAAAGGATGTAAATGAGTGGAGAATTTTCCTAGGTGACTTAGAATGATTGAGCTTTGCACCAGGGAATATGCATTTTTCTATTAAGGTTCAGCCCTCTATAGTTTTTTTCCATTGACTCAATAACATTTCTTACTTACCTTAAGTGTGATGATACATATTCACTTAAGTATGAAAGGTTATTGCCTTAGGAAGCCAAAAATCAGCCATGCTTCAAACCAAACTTCATATTAACATTTCTCTGGTGAAATATCAATTATAAGATTTGACTTCTTAATTGAATGAACAGTTTATCGACTGCCTATGTCAAGGAATGAATGTTAATGCTAATGTGGACTCAAGCTTGAGTGGTGAATATGTAACCTGTCAGACTCCTTACATGAGAAAGATTGTAGTTTTATTGTCTACTCTACAAGGGCTCAGCTGTTGAGGTGGCTGTCCTTCATGAGGTCATTGGTAGCTACCCCAGGCTGTATTGCTCTGCCTGGTCTGTCTTAGATACTCATGACTGTAGATACAACGCCCCCAAACCTGCATCTATTCTACAGCTGCCAGGGATGGGTAGAGGCATACACTTTAAATACAGGAAGTCTGGGGACTGAATCTTGTCTGTCTCATGTCTCTGAAGGAACAGGGTCACCCTGGGCTATGAAGAGATGAGGAAACCAGGGGTCTTATTTTGTATGCATTTATGTCCAACTACATATTCTAATGATCACTCATGAAAAGGTGATTTATCATCTTGAACTCAAAGAATATCTTTGTATTTTGTATTTTTTTGTGAATCACACAAGAATCTTTAGCAGTGAGTTTTTGCTGGAAAATAAAGAGAATATACTTTGGGAACTGTATTAGTTAATGCTTGGAGTAGGTCAGAGAGCTGATGGTAAAGGGGACTGTACAGGCAGAGAGAGAGAGAGAGAGAGAGAGAGAGAGAGAGAGAGAGAGAGAGAGAGAGAGAGAGAGAATTCTTGTTTTTGAGTCAGACAGGCAGCAGTTAGAAGGAAAAAAATATGAGGGCTAGAATCAATGAATTGTCACAATGACCCTGGAAGGCTGCTTGGGGGAACCACCTAACTTTAGATGCTCTGTGGAGGAATGTAGCCTATAAGAAAACCATATGTTAGTACTCTACAACCTACACCTTCACATCAAAAATAAATTTCAAAATGAAATTATCCCTCTTAATGTGTAAGAATGAGGATTATAAACTAAGTCCTTGGCTGAGGTTCCATAGAAAACACCAGTTCTGGAACTTGAAATTGATGCTTTTTCATTTACATGATGTATTTTGTAGACCAGCTGGTATCATCGTACAAGCTCTTTATCATAAAGCCAATATAAGTAGGAAGCATTTAGTAGATCCAAAGCATGTCTGAAGTCCATCATAATAGGTGTTCTGTGAAAACAATTATTCTCTGCATTAGGTGTTATAACTTAGGCCCATCTGTTGTATATCTCCTGTTTTAGTTACTATAACCTGAATACGTGGCTTTAGGTAGCGATCTATGTTCTATATAATCAGTAACTCAAACAGAAAACACATTAAAAAGAGATATTGTAGTAGATAGGAGGATAGGAAGGAAGCCATGCATGTATAGGAGCATACACTTAAAGATATTTGGCTTGAGTATGTGAGGCGAAGCTCAATCATCATGCCCACTGTGGAAATTATTCCATGACCATCAGAGAGATGGCTCACTGCTCTTGCAAAAGACCATAGTTCATTCCAGGCAACCTACATCAGGTGGCTCACAGCCACCTCTAACTGCAGTTCCAGGATCCAGGAGATCTACTTTCATCTTTGTGGGCACCTGAATGCAAGTGCCCATGTACACATGCACGTGTGAAAACATACATATAAATAAAAAAAAGAAAAGAAAAATTGTTCCAAATATACATATCACATGACTTATGGAAACCAGACACTAGCTGCTATTTACTGGGCATCCTTGTGCACCAGATACTACTGGGTCTTTTTCAAATTGTCTAATTTAAATTCTAAACACTTCTATAAAATGTTATTAATTCTGTCTTGCATTTGTGTGAAGTCCTTGGTGGCAAAATGGAAATTAGATCCTTAATCAACCCTTATCACACGGACATCCACCAGGATCAACATTTCCCAAGTGCTAGAGAATTTGAAATGTAAATTCTACATAATATATCTTTACCTGAGACACTTGTGCCTCCTGCTGCCTTAAATCCTCACAGACTCAAAGGAAACCAACTAATGAGAGCTGATGTTAGAATTTATAGATAAGTAAGCCTATCTCATATGTTTACCATGAAATTACACTAATTCAGTCACCCCAAATGTGTTGGAAATAGCACCATATTTATACTTTAGGTAAAGGTATGCTTAATTGAGTATAAAAGGGACCATTAGAATAATAACAATTCACTACTGACACAGGAGGCCACAGAAATAATAGTAAACTAGAAACTATGAGAATAGTCTGGGTTGTGCAGTCAATAACTACATGGGTTATAAAACCCCCAATTCTTTCATTGATAGTTTGAGCTATATGAAGACATTCATATTTAAATTTTAAAAATATATCTTTCTGGGCTTGGAACAAGCAAGCAAATGAAATGAGGCAGGATTCTCAGCAGGAAGGAATAACCAAATGTATTTGGGTACAAAATCAGGGCTCCATCTCTGCAGCAATATCTATGAGAGGACAGTCACGGAATGTTCTCCGGGGCCAAGGTGACCACATCCTGCTGCGACTGGCTGTTTGATGATGTGGGTTCCAAAGAGGTGGCACAGGAGAGCAACATCCATGGGGCTTTCTCTTGCCAGCTCTCTGACCTGGAGGTGGGGGGACATTCCGCTGATTCATTTCCATCCCTCTTAAAATCAGTTGGCACTGACTCTTTAAGTGAGACTTAGACAGGAAGGAGCCCCCGCCAAGATCAAGCTTGCTAAGGATTTGGAATCTTTGATCAGAATCAGCTGTAGAAACTGTCCTAAAAGCAGAGAACTGGCAGAGGACAGGAAAAACAAACAAACAAACAAAAAAACAAAAACAAACAAAAAATCCACCCTCCTTCCTATGAGATAATGATTGTACCATTTAGTTTAGGGAATGGGCTTTTACTGAAGATATCCTGATTGTTTTGCTAGAATTAAAATGTGGTTTGAGATTTGAGTAAGAAAACTTTAAAAGCTGATAAAACGGTGACACAAGCACATTCCTAGTAACTTGGTGGTGCTTAAGTTCTTCCCAGCCAGGTCCTAGCCTCTCCGGTGACCACTGCTCACAGAAATAAAGTACATCAGAATGTTCAGAAATCCCCCTGACAACCAGTCATTTGCTTCAAACTCAATTTTTGACTCTACAACGAACTATATATAGAGACTGGAAGGAAATCCAGCCTGCTTTTCCCTAACTTATCAAATTGTCAAATTAAAATTGCAGGAGAGAGCCAGGAAGAGAAAGCTCCGAAAGTAGGTAGAGTGTGAAGTGGCTGAAGGGAACAGGAAGTCAGGAAGTCAGCTAACAGTTTCAGGAGGGGGCGTGAGGCTGAGAAGTGCAGCACACAGCTCCCAGGGCCTGAGGTGGCGTCTCCAGCAACCCTCACCCTTCCCAGATTGCTACCTGCTTGAAAAACACTGTGCGTGGTGTGTAACAAGGACCGCTCCCTGCTGCGCACTGCTGCGTGTCCCCAGAGCTTTCTCCACAGTGTCAGCTTGCTAATAGTAAAATCCAAAGATGTCAGGAAGTGTGATAAAGTACTGGACGGAGGCTGAGAAGATGGCGCCATCAGCCAACTGTTGCTAAGCAATGGTGAGGACCTCAGTTTGGATCCCCAACCGCCGAGCCTGTGATCCCAGTGTTGGTGACGCTGAGGCAAGGGGATCCCTGGAGCCTGCTGGGCAGCCGGGGTAGCCAGTTTGCAAGCTTCAAGTTTAAGGAGAGACCTTGTGTCAAAAACTATGGTGGAGAGCAACTGCGGAAGACATTTGAGTTGACTTATGGCCTCTACAGACAGGTGCTTTTGCTCATGTGTACCTACACACGTACGTGCACACACAAAAAGTTCTTAAAATAATGAAGTAAGGGTTTCAACATTGACTCTTGCCACTGTGGTGTGTGTGGTTTGGGCCACTTGGTCACTGTTTTCCTCTTTTACTAAACCAGATACTTGGTAGAAACCTGGCTCTTGAATCTGAGTCACATCTCAGCATTTCTGGAGTTGGGTTGCTTTCACCTCTGTGTATGCATTTATGACAAACCGAATCCCTCCAGCTAGCACGGTGATGTGGTCCAGTGTGCTCCATAAGTGCAGACTGATTCAGGTATCCCTAATCACTCCCGGACCCCATTATTAGGAAAACAGGAACAGACAAAGCGATTCTGGAGGAACAGCCCTCCTACAAGGACAGTTGGGATTCCATGCAGTTGTCTTCGAAAACGTTCCTCCAAGTTTGTTTACTCTAGAAATATTCTACTCTCTCCAGAAACTCAGTTGATCCACGTCTGTCTCAGAACTGCCACTGCTGTTCTGGTTATGAAGGTGCAAGTGAATGGTCAAACTTCCAGCCTTACACCCATGATCAGTAGACACTAATGTGGCACAGCCCAAGAGACATGGCTGACTTAGAATATGGTATTAACTGCATTGGCTGTATAGTTCTTTCTCGAGGATTGAGACAAAGATTTTATTTAGATGAGATAGTTCAGCTTTTGACATACATTTGTATTTAATGCTGTTAAGACCCTAGAAGTGGCTATTAGGAATCACACAATCTAGATTTCTTCAGCACTAATCCATAAATAGACAAAATTAAGGTAATTTTTAGATTTCTTCAAACAGGGCCAAATTGGCACAATGCAAAATCAACTTATATTTGATTTCTCAAGAAAAAAAATGAATTTTTAAGTTAAAAAGGATTGTTTGACCACATTTAATATTTATGTCCAAATACAGTGTCCAATAGTCTACTTTCCTTTATCCAATTTTTTAGAGGATAGCAGTACTTAGAAAAACACTCATCATTGCACTTTCTGTATAATAAATCCAGATGTTTCACTCAGATTTTGGTAAGTGGGTGGAACAAAACATTGCCCTGACTGGACCCTGTTCTCACAGAGCCTACATGAAAGAAGGGTGAAGTAGGCTCCTGTTGTTTGAATTTTTATGTTCAAAACCATAATGCAAAGTATTTTAAGCAAAGGAAACTAACCACAAATCTCAACAGATCTCATCTCCTATGGAAATCCTTATGTGGACTACGGATTGAGTTGACTTCACGTCATTGGTTTACTCCCAGGCTTGGGGGATCATTGAGTAAGAACAGGGATCTAGACCTGAAGAGACAGGTGTGAGATGGGCATGTGTGTCTCAGCTTCTCTAAGTCACCACAGATTCTAATTTCAATATTTTAAGAAGTGCACTTCCCCACTAAATCCTGTTGGAGTTCCTTTCTGCATATGTGTTTCTTCTTCTACTCCTGTGCTAGTTTTCAGAGCCCTTCTTTATTTCTGGGGAGCCTTGTTTCAGTTCTCTCTGCCCATTCATTCCTTCTCGTGACCTCTTGTAATTTTTGCACGAGTGTGTTAATGAAGTACCACCAACTGGTGAATGAAGCAGAGTGCACAGCTACAAGTTACACAGCGCTGGGAAAGATGCAGAGGCCTGCCTTTTTCGATATTCAGTCCCTTAGCTGTTGTTGGATCTTTGGGCTTTGCTCGGATGAAATGTGTGACCTTTTCTTTGACACTGCTTTCCAATGAGAAGGGTGTGGAGGTCACACCTTGACAGTGTGACTCAGGATAAATAGATAATCCCATCTGGGAGGATCTAGTCATTTCCTGCCATCACAAAGTTCCACAAATGGAGTGGCAGGAACAACAGACGAGTTGTTTCTCTTCCTGGAGCTGAATGTCCAAGGTCAAGGAGCTGGGGTTTGTCTCTTTCTGAGGCTGAGAGGGTCTGTTCTATTTCTCTGTCACTGCAGCTGGCTATTTGCTATCAGCCACTGGTGTTTCTTAGCATCTGACTTTTTCTTCACTTGGGGCTCTTGCGGGGTGGCCATCTTAGCTCAGATCCCCTGTTCTGTAGCTGTAAAGAGGCCCACCCACTCCTGTGAGACCTCATTCTAATCAGCTAGTTGCATTAGCAAAATTATTTCACATTCTGTGGCACTTCAACATGTGAATTTTGTGATGCATAATTCAACCCATAAGGAATAAGGAATTATTGGTTAACTAGATTCCCGTAATGGCAGAAAGGAGTGAATGAGCAATATTTTGACTTTTATTCACGAGGGAACTTCCTTCATGAACAATTAAATTCTACTTCTCTTTCTTGTTTCAGCCTCTCAACTGCAGCATCCAAAGTCTTCAGTTAAGACAGCCAGTGGACAGTCACTGCCCATCTTCATGCCCCCTTCCTCTTTCCCTGTTTTTTGGTTTCTGTTTCATAAACTGTTCTCAAACGTATTTTTCTTCATGCACCCATTGCTAACCTACTCCATGACAGCACTGTCCTTTATGTTTACTTTTTGATTTCCTCAATTTTGAGATGATCATTCTTAGTGTACACAGTTGATCTGTTTCACTTAATCAAAATGACTCTCATGTCTAATGACTTCTTTACTTCAAATCACTCCATCATGTCCCATGAGACATCACAGTAGCCACTTTCATGTTCAGAATAAACACACGCGTAAATCCTCTCATTCTTGATGTCCACCCTGGGGAAGTCACGTCCTGGAAACTTGGATGCTCTTGAATCTGCAAACTGAACATTAAGTATATTACATTTTGCTCTTGATTTACATTCTTAAGGAAGCTATCTTCCCTCTCCCTCTCGTTTCTTTTCCCCCTCTCTCTTCACCCTTTGCACTCCCCCCCCACACCCTCTCTTTCTCTCTTCATTTGGACACTGTCACTTGAAGCTTTGAATGCACTAATCCAGGGTGTAATGTAAGCACCCCGTGGATCTTGGACCTTTTCAGGACTGCATGAAAATCTAAGTCCAGTGACTTTGAAGCAGCTCTTTGAACTCTCTTTATTCTATATGTCTAGAATACCAGGGCCAGTAGTTTTTAAGGGTAACGAGGAGTGCTGTCCATTTTTATTCCATAAGAACAGACAATTAAGATGTGGTCAGCCAATCTCTTAAATTTTCCTTTATTATAATTTCTATTTCCATTGTATAAATGCTGAAGTAAAGATAACAGTGCATCTACCAGATGCAAGTTAAGGTGTGTCTGTGTCTATAGGGACCTCACTGCTTTACCAACCTGAGAAGATACACGCCATCTTTGTGCACTAACGTCTTTGGCAATATCTTCATCAAAGAAATAGAGGCAAATTAAAAAAAAAAAGTACAGGGTGAAACCCAGGATGTTTTCCGTGTGCTATAATTTATATCAATGCACCAATAATATAACTACTCTTCAGAAAAGGTATTTTTCTCTGTACAAAAATGTCCTGTTGCTAAATCTACACAGAGAATTTGAATAGTCCTCCAATAAATCCAGTTTACAAAATAACCTGCCACAGGGGCTGGAGAGATAGCTGGGCCCTTGGGAGCACCGGCTGCTCTTGCAAACAACCAGGATTTAGTTCCCACAATTCTATCAGGTGACTCACAAACACCTGTAACTCCAGTTTCAGAGCATCTGCTGCCCTCTTCTGGACTCTGTGGGTACATGCTCTCGTGTGCACACATCCACTCACAGACACACATGTATACACATGATTAAAATAAAAACAAAACAAAACAAAACAAAAACCTTTAAAAATACCTCCCAGCATTCTTTGATGTCTAATTCTTTAAGACTCAAGCTTTTGGTACCATTATTTGAGAGAGTTGTAATCAGTTATCCCCCAAGATTTTGTGTTTGAAAAGACCATAGGGGAAAAAAATTGGTTAAAAAAATTCAAGTGCAGTGTGATTCATCATTTAATGTATTGTTGTTTACTTTGTTGAGTCTTTATTATTTTCTTCTTTAAAAGAAGGAAAGGTCAAAGGTTAAGGGTTATACCAGATCACATATAAGGTGTTTCATTTTGAAATTCAGACAGTAGGTTTGCATACGGGCAGGAGGTATGGGAAAGAGGAGGAGAGGACAGTCGGAACAGGGAGGTTACCCAAGGACAAAAGCCAGAATGAAAAGTGAGGGGAAGCGCTCACCCCAGGAGCAGCTGCTGAGTCCTCACTGTGCGGTTTGGCAGGGTGACTCCTCCCTGCATGCTGTCAAGAGGACTACAGAGCAAGCATCCCCAGGGAAGCTCACTGATCAACCTTCCTGTCCAGTCCAATGACACAGCAGAGTGCTGAACTCTTCAAAGCGGGTCCTTTGGTCCTGTGCCGCTCTGTCCTTCCACCCCACCTAAAAGTGCCTTCCTGTCTCTCCTCATCTCTGTCACTCCCCCCAGAGACGTCCAGTCAAGCCGCGCTGCCTCCCTCAGGTGAAACTGTCCTTAGTGAATGCCGTTCAGGCAGCAGGGTGAGCGGTCGTGTCATAACATCTTTCTGGCAACAGGTCCTCACCTTCAGAGCTGCTGGTCGTCGGTGTAGGAGCCGAGGGAGTACAGTGAGCTGCAGGCTACCTTTAGTCTGGGCTAAAGCCTTATCCACTGGAGAAAAAACTTTCCTGTGGAGTAAAGAGAAAAGGCAGGCTATTTTCATTTTATTAGAGAGTCACCTTAGAGCTCTCAGATGTCTGATGACATCTCTCAGCATTTTCACTTTTCCTGTTTAGCTCCGAAAACAAGTGAAC